TTATGATTTCTTTGAAAGGGGCTGCATATTACACTAAACCATGTTGTGGAATAGTATTACAATAGCCAGCTTTGGTGAGTACAATTTTGCCTTTTATTTTATGACTATTGCATGCATCATAAATTTCCCGTTTGTTCTGTGTTGGTTTAGTCTCCTTTGTTAGCAGTCTGCCACACAATGCATGGCTGGCTAGGGAATTCTGGGAGTTGAAGTCCACATATCTTAAAGTTGCTAAGGTTGAGAAACACTGATCTAACTACATGAGATATGTAGCGGAAAACGGTATTAAAATGAAGTATTGAAATACAGCTTTGAGGCTCTTTTTTGGTCTGAAGTGTTCAGCTTTTTCATTGGACAAAATGTTTAGTGCTCAATTCATTGGAAAAGGTCTTACCTCTAAATATAAGTAACTCTAAAGCAGAATGTGCTAAAAATCTGCTAAATAAATTTATTTTCTTACTATTGGTTCAAAAAATATTAACATATCTGCACCCAGTACAGTAGTCATTACAGTAGGAGCATAAACTGGGAAGAAGAGAATTTAAAGAAAGAAATCAGTTAATATTGGAGGCATAAATCTCAAACAGGATTTGAAATCGTTTTCCAGTCAACACTGTCTTGGATCTTTAATTCCCAGGAGATATAGGAAACAATAACAATTCCAGTAACTTGGTCCCCAAGAGTGTGGGTTTAGACAACTATATGCTAAATGCTGAGAGTTCAAAACTTCTTAAGTAAATTAAAAGATTAGGCATATAAAGGAAGCTGCAATCTCCAGACGTGTTAGTAACATTCTTGCTCATTCAAAAAAATCTCTGCTCACAGGATATTGGCTGATGTTTCTCCTTCAAGTGACTCATATTAAACAATTATTTGTGAACTTAGTACTAGCTAAAAGAGTTTTGGTTTTTTTCTTCTTAAAAATTATATATTTTCCACTCCTTTCCTTCATTTGAACTTCAGACAGTTTAGTCTACTGGCTGCCTATGGTGTTGTCCCCCCCCCCCCCCCCATAATTTCACTTGGAATTTGGAGGTCTGTAAATGAAATACCTTGGGGTTTTCCCAGCCTTTTCGGTTAGCTTCTTTCCACTTTTGTAGTATTTCTGCCTGTCTCATGCATGCATGGGAACTTGCTGGCAAACAGAGGCATATCCTGTAATAATCCCTGGACTAGATTTATAGTTGTTATTCAGTTATATCTGTTGACGTTTTTCTGGCATTTGGTTGGTATTCTCCTACAGGCATTGCACAATGCTCCACTCAAAATGAGTATTTCTGGAATTTACCAAATAATTTGAAGTTCTGTAATGCTGACGGTTCATTTTCTGATGCTTGCCTTAGGTCAAGGGGGGATATATACAAAGCAGTCCACGGAGCAAAGTAGTCATAAATCCATGAGTTCTCAGAGGAAGTGTTTCTAAGCCATATCTTGAGGAGTGGGACACTCAACTCCCTTTATTCTCAGTATCTTCAGAGTCGGATGCATTTACTGACTATTCATTCAATTACCTTACATTGTTTCCTGATTTAATTACCTCCGTTTTATTACCCTTGTGGATGGGCCAGTTAGAGTTAGTGGACAGTTTGCTTCTGTCAGTAGGAAGTGACTTCATGGAATATAAAGCTATCAATGGCTGTTAGTCATGATGGCCAGTTTTTAATTTTTGTTTCTTCAAATCAGTTTTTACTCTGGGCAAGTCCCTGCGGTTTTCTTGGCAAGATTTTGGAAGTGGTTTGCCCTTGCCTCCTCCTTCCTAGGGCTGAGAGAGAGGAGCTGGCCCAAGGTCCTCCAGCTGGCTTCGTGACTAGAACCCAGGGTCTCCTGGTTTCTGAGTCTTAACTACTATACCAAACTGACTCTTGGGGCTAATTACTACCTTTCTGATCAGAGGCCACTGGGTTTCTGAATACCAATGGCTGGGGAATGGTGTGTGAGAATGCCAGTGTAGGGCAAGTGAGCGCTGAGCTTGTATCTGATGTAGGAATGCAAATAAGACAGTTTGGCTTTGTTTCTAACACTTGTTTTGTCATCTTTTTGTCAAAACAAGTGTTCGTACCAAATGCCTCAGCACTCTTGTGGGCATTTGGTTGGTCAGAGCAGGAGTGGAATGCAGGATAAAGCAGTTTTGGATCTCATCTAGCACAGCTCTTTGTGAACTGCATGTGAATGGCCATCATTGAACCAGATCCAGTCTGGGGCTTTGTTCTATTTGCAAAGTAGTAGAATTCTCACTGGAATTGGAAACAGCTAATTGGAGTGTAGTTTAATATAATAAAAGGCTTACTCTCGTTTGTCTTTCTCCTATGAAACTATAGCTATTGTATAACATATTTTAATAAGTTAGAACAGAAATATAGAGAATGCCGTTTAGGAGAAATGCCCTGGAGCACTTCAGAGGGCCTTGCTTACTACAGAGTGCCCCAACATGCTGTTCAAGGGACAGGTACCCTCCTTAGCTCTTGCCAGATGCTCTAGTCTACCTGAGTTTTTGTATTAAAAAAATACTTTAATTCAGAGAAATGGGAGTAGCAACGGTGCCAGCCTCTGGCATTTGCAAGATTAGCTGCGGGCCGCTCAGCTTCCTTAAAATGCAAGATGCAAGCCATTTGGAAGTGTGACACCTGCCTGGAAAGAAGGATGTAAGTAAGCAGGAATAGGAAGGAGTGTCCTGCAAAAATGAAGGCTACTGTTGATGGTGGCGGATAGCCTTCAGGTGAATCTCTGCTTTTCAGCTGGCTATGTCCTCATGACAGCCTTTATGAAAATGGACAAGCCATATCACAAAGATGCCTAATAACAGTTGGGAGGGAGTTAGTTGACTCTAAAAAATAGTGAGAACTGGTTCATACTTGGCACTGAGCCAGAATGTGGCTACTTTATGGTTCATTGTGATGTGTGTTTGTAGTCAGGGAATAAACAATGGCTTGTTTTAAGGCTATGTATTACAGTTTGAAATTGTGACATGTGATAATGTATTTCTTTTATAGTTTCCTGGCTACTGATTTCTTTTAAAGTCCTTCCCAAGCCTGTAGAGAAATCAAGGAATTGCTGGACTGGTTATGATTACTTTGCTCCTCCTCGAGAGTGATTCAGGCTTGTTCCTGAATTGTTCATCAAACCATGGTTAAAACAAAGCAAGACATAGCATGGTATATAAACACAGTCTATATGTCTATGGAGAAGAATGCTAATCTTCAGAATTTTAATCCTGCCTATATAATGTGAGACTCCATGTGTCAGCATACAAAATTTATGGGTAATAAAGATTGAACCACAAGCCAATACCTTTTTCTTGTGGGCTTTGTGTGTATATTTATTCTGCCTGTTTAGGTCTCATTTAGTGATTTCCTACTCTTCTGGGGCTTCCCCCGCTGCATTTATTGCATTTCCTTCACTGTTTTTGTTATCCGTTTTTTGGTTTGATTGAGGCTGATTTCTCTCCTTTCACTCAGTTGTTACAGCAAGGAATAGAAAAATAGATAGCAAACCCTGTAGGTATTTTCCTTTGATTGAAGACATGTTTGACCTTTTTTAATGTATGTATCAACACAGAAGAGACTTGTGTCTTGTATAAATGGGTCAAAGTCTTCTGCAGCAGCTAAGTATTTTCAGCCAGAAATACAGTTACAAGAAAAAGTATGTGAACCTTTTGGAATTTCATGGTGTTCTGCATTAATTTGTCATAAAATGTGATCTGACCGTCATCTAAGTCAA